CCACGCTCTCCTGGGAAAAGCCTGACGGTACCCAAAGCAACTTCTCTTGCGGCAAACCGCGGCAGCCGGCCTCACGCTGCGCTCCTGGGTGAGCTCCTTGATTAAGTTAATTGAGGCTCGTGTTGCTCAGGACCCCTTTGGAGCAGCAGCCGACTGGACTCTCGCTCCAGTTTAGAGGAGACGGTCTGAAGCCGAGAACTTGCTGAGGTGGTGAAAAGGTTTCTTAAATCTCCCGAAAGGAGAGACTGGCGGGTCTGACTGTCAGTGGGGGATGTAGGTCAGTCTGGTTTTTCACTTGTAGAAGAATGATGTCTTGCTCTAAGACTTCTGAGGAGATTTTTTTTTTTTCCTTCATGCTCTAGGGCAAACGCTCGAATCCCGTTCAGGCCATCCTGTCTCTTGAGTAAAAGCTTCGTTAAGAAGTGGGTCTCCCTTATTTCTGACAGCTATTGCAGGAGTCCTCCAAGTTTTAAACCTTTATTTATCCAACGCTTGCTTTTGATACTGAATTTTTCCTTGTCACCGTACTGCACAACACGATAATAGACATTTTCCAGTTTAAAAACCCTACTATTTCTCATTTACTCTGTAGTAGCACGCTGCTGTTCTTCTCTTTCCGCTGAAACCTTACGCCAGCTTAGCAAAATCCCCCGTTTCCGATGCGAATGCTGCCTGGGGCTTTGGAGCGGGGATCCCTGTCACGCCGGCACTCGTGTGCCGCCCATCACTGGTGCATCTCGCCCCACGGGCTGGAGCTTCTTGCCTAGAATTTACCCTGTTTCTGGAGAAAAAAATGTTTTCCGGAGAAAAGAAGGCTCTGAGGAGACGTTGTTGTGGCCTTCAGGTATCTTAAGGGAGCTGAAAAACTGGTGAGGGACTTTTAGGATGTCAGGGAGTGACAGGACTAGAGGGAATGGATTAAAACTAGAGATGAATCGATTCAGATTGGATGTAAAACAAGTTCTTCCTTACAGGGTGGGGAGACCCTGGGACAGGGTGCCCAGAGAGGGGGTGGCAGCCCAGGCCAGGCTGGATGGGGCTCTGGGCAGCCTGATCTAGTGGGGGATGTCCCGGCAGAGGAGTTGGAACGAGATGATCTTTGAGCTCCCTTCCAACCCTGACAATTCCAGGCTTCTATGATTTGGGGGAGAAGTCTCAAGAGAGGGGATCGCGACTCTTTCCATCGATTACAGCGGCGCCGAGGATTGTTCCCGACGTTACAACCAACCAAAGTTTAAAGGTGTAAGTGGTTGTTACGTCCTAATTTGTTTGGATTTCCCCTCTCCCCGCAGGACGATGCCCGCCAGTTGTTCGTGCTGGCTGGGAGCGCGGAGGAAGGCGTGATGACGGCCGAGCTGGCCGGGGTGATTAAGCGGTTGTGGAGAGACGCCGGCGTTCAGGCCTGCTTCAGCAGATCCAGAGAATATCAGCTCAACGACTCCGCCTCATAGTAAGAAACCCTGGCGAGCTTCTGGGCTCTTCCCGCTAAGCAAAGGGTGTTCCCAGCAGGCTGGGCAGATGTAAACCCTGGTCTGACTGGTTTATACTGGGCTGGGCTCGCCTGGTGGCTCGGTGCTTCATCAAACACCATTTTGCTGATTGTTTTCCCTATATGTGGGGAAAAAAAAAACACCGTACGCTTTCCTTATTTTTGTGCCTGGGTGAATTCACCAATATTTTTACCATCACTATCCCTACCCAAAGGAGTAGCAACACCTTTTGCTCCTGAGCAAAGACCCACCTTTGCGAGGAGCAGCGATTTCTCGTGGTGGGATCTCCCGCCGTCGGCGGATCGATATTGGGGTGACGGTTGTTGGTTTTGTGTCCGTGACGCCGTGTGGGGCGGCGCTGCAGACCAGCTGCAAACCTGCTCGTCGTTCCGCTTGGAAAATGCGCGCGATTGCTTCATAATTGCCAAGTTATGAGGAGATAAACAGGCTGCTGCTGGCTGGTTAATGAGAATTTTGGCTAAATGCCTCATCTAGCTCCAAGAGACAGGTTAGGGCAGGGAGAGGAGACTGTTTCTTTTAATGAGAGAAACAGTTGGGTTTTTTCCCTTGTTTCTTTTTTTTTTTTTTGTAAGTCATGTGCTTCATCTCTCTAGAGCAAATATTTTTCAAGCTCTGAAAGGATGATTTTGGGGTTAAGTGTGCCTCCCGATGTGCAGCTGAAGACTTGTCTCGATTTCGCCAAGTCTGAAGCCTTTGAAAACTCGATTTTGAAGTTTCTAAAGCAACTTCAGATGTGTCACAGCTCAGCTGCCTGCAGGCTCTTTCTACATGGAGCATATTTTAGCTTGAAAAAATAAGAATTCTTCTAAATTTGTAACGCCTTGGCAGACTATCACAGATTTTAGATCAAGGTGAGGGAGTTGACAAGAGGAGGCTCTCTCAGATTCCCGTGCACCTTTGCAGCATGCCAGGAGGAAGCTTCAGATTCAGAAGGGCAGGTGAGGAGGGGGATGAACGAGGGAATAATTTAATGAAGAGGAGGAAAGCTTGATGATTTCTCAAGTGAAGGATGTAGGGCAGAAAGCCGAAGTGATTGAGTGGAGCTTAAGGAGGAAGTTGAAGATGAGGAACCTCGGTTTTGTGGCCTGGCTGGTCAGCTCCAGAAGAGGAGGAGGATGAAGGAAGGACAGAGGATGAAGGAAGGACGGAGGAAATGGGATCGAAAGGGCTTGGAAGTGGAGCAGATCGGGGAGACCTCACTGGATGTTGTTGCTCAGTATCTACAACCCACTCGTGTCCAGTTTCTGGTACTGGTAGGTGTAGGCCCAGCACTGGGGCGAATTGCTGCCGCCGGGCGCGATCAGGTCTGGGCAGCAGAGAGGGTTCAGCCCGCTGGTGACTCACTGCGCTTTTTTTCCTGATAAATACGTCAGAGGACTCGACTTCCTGGCCCGAGGCTGCAGGAAGTGGGGCGAAAGCAGTGTCATTTCGAGTTGGGAAACGCCGCAAAGGGGTTCCTTCAGCGCAGGGAACGATAGCGTGGTTAAAAAAACCCATTTTCTTCTGCAGGACACCCGTCTCGCTGGCATTTGGTAGTTTTTTTCCCCTCTGCTCCTCATCTTCTGGTGTTGCCCTGGTAGTTCCCTCACCCACGGGTGTCTTGTCTTTTTGTGGTGATGGGGGGGTCACGTAGGTGCTGCCTTTTATGCACCGTTCTCTTGGGGGAGTTTCACGTCCCTGCTCCTTTCTCCGACAACCGGGCTTCAAACTTCAGCGTTAGCGACCTTGAAATAGTGTGTCGTGTTTGAGGCAACTGCTTTTCCAGCCGAAATTCAATATCGTGCCGCGATTCAAGCCCAGTGCTTCGTGTCTGACCTCGGAATGGTCCCCTGGAACGGAGGAGGAGAAAGAGGAAACATCTGAGTAATCATTCATGAAAATTAGTCGGTGGCTTTTGGGGCAGCATCAAATTATTCCCGAAACTTTCCTTCCTGCTGGTTCGGGGATCCTGCCCGGCAGAGAGCTGCCCTGGCAGGCAGGAGAGGAGGTAACAACCCTGTGTCGTAATCCACATTTTCTTATTTATTTTTTATTTATTTTTTCGGTTTTTTGAAGAATGATTGAGTAACTCTCGCTCCGTTCAAGCGCTCACGCCAACACCCGGTGTCTTCTCCACCTGGTAACGTCCTTTGAGCAAACACCCTGCTTTTGTGGCGTGATAGATTCCAAACATCTGCGTTTTCACTTGCCTTATCACAACTTCCCGTTTCTCTTTGAGCGCGATACGTCCGCGAAGGCGGCGAAAGAACACCGAGAACCCGCTGGGCGGCGCGGGTGCCACTGCCTCACGTGTCTCGGCGTGCGGGTAACGCTCCAAGAGGTTTAAGTTGCTGGTTTTGCTGCTTTTCCCAAAGTTCAGGCAGACACGGAGCTGCAGGTAGGGTCGGTAATTAACCACAGTCTCACGGGTAATTAGCAGAGTTTCTGATCCAGCCTTCCCTAGGCTGGCGCGTCTCGTTCCCGAGTGGCGGTTTTGGCCTGAATTCCCTGACATGAGGCTGGGTAAAACCTAGATTATTTCTATATTATCTCCTCTTTGCTTTCGAGCACTATGTGGGGCATCGTTTTCCCAACGTCCCCTTTGGGGAAACTCAATTTTTAAAGCTTTTTTATTTTTTGGTCGGTGGATCCAGACCTCAAACCGCGGGTCGAGCATTCAAACTGATAAAGGTAACGTTCCCTTTTTTTCCTGGAGATCTCACTCCATTACCTCATTTTTCTGCTCTCACCTGCCCAAATCCAGCTAAACATGAAGGGGGAGCCAAGAGCAACCCACCTGCATCCCAAACCTGCATCTTTCTCCCTTTTTTTCCCCTCTTCTCCCTGCCAAGGACTGACTTTTGTTTGCTGCTCTGCCCTGGGGCCGTGCTGGCCACAGCCCCTCCTTCCCGAGCCTCAGACTTCATAATAAATGCTTTGTAGGAATCCTTCCGAGCTTCCTGAGCGATTTTTGGCCTTGAAAATGCAGGGCTAAAAAGGAAACAGGGCTGAATTTGTTAGGAAAATACCATTCCGGGGTCTGTGTGGAGGAGGGGAACTCTGTTATCTTCACCGAGCCCGCCTTGGAACATCACTGGAGAGACAAAACACGATTTAGCCGGAGGCTTTTGATCAGCTTTAATATTTTTTTGGTCCTTCGTGGGGGGGGGGAAAAAAAAGAAGCAGCAAAAAAGAAGCAAGGTGGACGCTTTCAGTTCCTAAAACAATCTTTGCGAGGGACGTCTTTAAACTTCCGGACGGACTGTGGCAAGCTGCGGGCTGCTTAAAACCAGACTGTGTTTTCCAGTTGGGTTTGGATTTTTATTTGTTTTTCAAGTCCCACTAAACCCAGTGGGGGTAAAGGACTGACGGTCTGTGCTGGCCAGGCCTTGCACCCCGGTTTGCTGGGGGCGGCTGCGTGTGCTCGGGCTCTTCCGCTGCTGAGAAACCCCCCGTGCTCAGGTCTCCCAGCTGGAATTTACCCTTTGAGTCTTCCTGGAATTGTTTTTTTTTAAGGCAGCACCCCGATACACCTCGTTTCCTCCCCCTCATAGAATCCTGACATGTCTGAGGTTGGGAGGGACCTTGGAGCTCATCTCCTCCATGGGCAGGGACACCCTCAACCAGCCCAGGTTGCTCCAGGTTCATCCAACCTGGCCTTGACCATCTCCAGGGAGGGGGCAGCCGAAACTTCTCTGGACAATTTGTTGCAGAGTCTTGCCACCCTCGTACTGTAGAATTTCCTCCTAAGATCCAATCTAAGCCTATGTGTATATTTTACATCCATCTTAAATCCACTTCCTTCAGTTTAAATCCACTTCCCCCTGTCCTATCACCGGACACTCTTGTACAAAGTCCCTCTTCAGCCTTCCTGTAGATTTCCT